GAGACTTTAGGTCCAGCCCGGTTATCGGACAGCCTAAAGGCGTTGAACCACTTCTTTCAAAAAACGCGAGTCAATCAAAACCATCGCGTCGCTCCGACCACCTCTTCTGACAGCGGCGATAACGAGGTAAAACCTTATTCTGTATTTCTAGTCAATCAACTTGATAATTATTGCGATGAAGTATTTTGATTATTTGGACGCACTTTTAAAATTTTTGCTTAAACATGGTTATTACGAGGTCTAGTCATGAATAGCAAGAAGAGAAGCAAATGGTAAGAAATGTATTCTTATTAATTAATAGGGGAATATGTGCCCAAAAGATGCCCGGGGGTCGGGATATCCCTGGGGGATAATCTCTAACAATCATTGGGTTTACATCCCTTAAGAAAGGAAAAAGAACTCCTAATAACTAGAGTTGCTCTTGACGTTTGTATCCCTCCGCTTTGGAAAATCCGCTTGAGTGTGCGGAGGGGAGATTTCCCTTTTCTTCTATCAGCTCGGCCCTTTGCAGGGTCATATTCTAGGCCATGCTTTAAAAGATTATCCTTGAATTCCGGGGGCTCCTTCATTCCTTGGGAATCTACCTCGAGCCCTTGGCCAGGATGGTAACCATACTTCATCATCATGCGGGCCACCTTCGTATTACCGGGAAGTCTTTCTACATTGGCAATTTCAAGTGCTTGAAAAGATGTTTCAAGGGCCTCTTCAGCCGCATCCACATAGGGTTGAGTAGACGGTCCACTAATCAAGATATCATCTTTCGCTTGGACTGTGACCAATTTGTCATCTACTATGAACTTGACTTTCTGGTGGAGTGTTGAAGGCACTGCCTTAGCATTGTGAATCCAAGGTCTGCCAAGGAGACACCTGTATGCTGGAGTAATGTCCATCACGTGGAAATCGACATTGAAGATAGTGGGTCCAACTTGGATTGGCAAATTGATTTCCCCCACTACTTCTCGTTTGAATCCGTCGAAGGCTCGAACGATAGTGCTGCTTTGGTGCATGCGGGTTCCTTGAATGGTCAACTTGTCCAGTGTGCACTTGGGAATCACATTCAAGGATGACCCATTATCCACAAGAAATTTAGCGATGAGATACTCCTTGCATTTGATGGAAATATGCAAGGGCTTGTTATGGCTCGACCCCTCTGGAGGGAGTTCTTCATCTGCGAAGGTGAGGTGATCGCTAGCTGTGATGTGGCCGACAATCCTCTCAACTTTTTCTTGGGATATTGTATGAGGTACGTGTGTTACGGTCAAGACCTTCATCAGGGCATTTCTGTGCGGTTCCGAACTCATCATTAGGGATAACAAAGTTATCTTTGTCGGTGTATGATTGAGTTGGTCGATGATGAAATACTCGATTTGCCTTATGAACTGGAGTAATTCATCGGTCTCCTCCTTGGATTCTTTATTTTCTCTTTCTTCAGTCTGTTTATTTTTTCCTTTATTCTTGGGGGCATCTTCTTATGACTCCTTGGGGGAGTATATTCTTCCGCTTCTAGTCATGCCCCCAATGCCGGCTACGTTGGAGATGTCCTCCTTTATTGGTGAAGATTCCTCGCATCTCCACGGTACAACTTTATTTGATTCATAGGGGAAAGGACGAGGCACAAATAATCGCAAAGGCGTCCTTGCCCCCTCATCCTTATTGACTTTGATAACCAACGAGCGAGACTTATTGTCCTCTTGGGGTGAATCGACCATTGGGGAGAGCATGATTACGAGCGGTTTTCTCTCCATCCTTCTGATTGTGGAAGACTTATCAGTTAATCCTTCCTTTTTATTATCTTATTTATTAAAAGTGAAGGAGGGATAATCAAGTATGCAAATGAATGAAATGCATGCAAGTAGACAATTGTTGCAAAAAAAGGAAATTTTATTTATTCATAGAAAGTGTACATTCCCCTACACCGTGCTACGAAGCACTTTTTGATAGAAACGAAAAAGCCTAAAGAAACCCACAAGTGGGTTCTGATTTCTATGTAATTCCTCTTCGACTTCTCGTACATGACAAGCGAGTGCTTTGGTCTGCTGGCGGACCGCCTGGCTCATATCTTCACTATACTTCTGAGCCTCTTTGATCTTCGCCTTTTGATGGACGACCAAGGCTTGTAAATTGTCGAGTCTTTCAAGGGCTCGGTCTCTTTCTCGTAGCACTTGCCATACTGAGCTAACCCGTCTCTTTCTTTGTAGCGCAACTGAGTAAGACTTCTATTAAGTCTCTGGGTAGTCTCCCGTCCTTGACGTATCTC